GTAAAGGTTTTACCTTCAAATTTTTTTTTTATATTTTTGTTTAACGAACATTAATTAACGTTCGTTTTTATATTTATAAGTCCTGGACACCGAAGAATGGCTCCGGACATTTATTTCGAAGGTAAAAATCTTTGAAATATTTTTTTTTATAATTTAACTTTAACGAACGTTAGTTTCGTTCATTTTTGTATTTTATAGGTCCAGAACACTGAAGGTATGTTCTGGACCCATTTGAAAATTCTGTTTGATGGTAAAACTTTCAAATTATTTCTTTTAATTAATTTATTAACGAAACGTTCAGTTTATAACGTTTCATTTCTTTTTTTTCAGATAAAGGAAGCCGAAACAAGTTCTGGACTTCCATATCGAAGGTAAAACAAACCTTCAAAAATTAATTTTTTTTTAATTAATTTATTGACAAAACGTTTCTAACGTTTCATCTCTTTTTTTTTAGGCAAAGGAATCTGAAAACGAGTTCTGGACTTCCATATCGAAGGTAAAACCTTCAAAATTTTTTTTTCTTTTTTATTTATTGACAAACGTAACTAACATTCGTATTTCCTTTTTTTTTAGATAAAAGAAGCCGAAAACTTGGATTCCCATACGAAAGTTTTCCCATACGAAGGTAAAATCTTCGTAAAAAAAAATTTTTTTTATTTAATTTATTGACAAACGTAACTAACGTTCATATTTCCTTTTTTTTTAAATAAAGGAAGCCGGAAACTTGGACTCCCATACGAAAGTTTTCCCATACAAAGGTAAAATCTTCATAAAAAAAAATTTTTTTTATTTAATTTATTGACAAACGTTAACTAACATTCGTATTACTTTTTTTTTAGGCAAGGGAATCCAAAAATGAATTCTGAGCTCCCATATCGAAGGTAAAACCTTCAAATTTTTTTTTTCTTTTTATTTAAACAAACGTTAACTAACGTTCGTATTTTATTTTTTTTAGGTAAAGGAAGTCGAAAATGAGTTCAGTCTCCCATATTGAAGGTAAAACCTTTGAAAAAAATTTTTTTTAATAATTATACTTAACGAAGTGTTTTCTAACGTTCGTTTTTGTATTTTGTAGGAACACAGCTCTCTGGACGCTCCTGAACAGAATTTCGAAGGTAACCTTCGAAATTCTGTTTTTTTTGTTTTTATTTAAACGAAATGTTAGCTAACATTTCGTTTTCTTTTTTGTTGTAGATTTCAGTACTCCAAGGTTCCTAAAACGGGTAAATGGTAAGTTTCGCAATAAGAGTTGCGAAACTTTAAAATTTATTTTTTTTTTTAAAGAACGTTTCTAACGTTCTTTCTTCTTTATATAAGAACGCCGGGCTTCTTTAGACGAACTAGACTTGGAGATTTTTTCAGGATTTTGAAGGTATTTACCTTCGAAATTAATTTTTTTTTAATGTTTAACAAAACATTTACTAACCTTTTGTTTGTCTTTTCTTTTTACTTTTTGCAGGTTTACGGCTTCTGGACGGAATTTTGAAGGTAAAATTCCTTCGAAATTCTTTCATATTTTTTAATTTGCGAAACGTTTACTAACGTTTCAGTTGTTTTTTTCTGTAGGGTTTTTTTCTCTGGCTCCTGGACGAAAGAATTTGAAGGTATATCTTCAAAATTCTTTATAATTTTTTTTTTATTCTTCTTTAACGAACGTTCTACTAACGTTCATTTTACTTTATTTTTTAGATCCTGAGATTTCGTGTCAAACATTTCGAAAGTAATAACTTTGAAATAATTTTCTTATTTCTAATAAACATCTCCGATTTTCTATTTTATTTTGTTGTTTGTTGGAATCGAACCAACTGGAACAATGTCCAAACTATTAACAACATGTAAATGTGCAGTAAAGAGATGATAAATAGCAATGACTAGTAATAGATTTCAATTGTATTTGTAAACTTGTTAATATATAATAAAAAAGTAATTTTGATTATAAATAAATTAGTAATTAATGCAATAAATTAATTTGTATTATTGTGATGCAGATTTTTACTGAAAAAAATTGCTGAGGTATTTCAAAAGTTTTTTATTTAAAAATCTGCGCAGAACTTTGTTATTTATAAAATCTGCGCAGTTTTTTATTGGATTTTTCCTTTAATATTTTGCGCCAGGGTATAAGATCTGCGCAGATATAATTTCTGAAAATCTGCGCAGATCTGCTTCCCAAAAAATTTCCCAATGAGACTAATATTTTGGCAAATCTTTTTCTTGGTAATAAAGCTGAATGTATATATAAAGGTAAAAAAGGCAGGTCTAGATATATTGCATGTGATGATTTGATAGTTTGTGGTTATCATTCTGACGAGCCTAAGTGGGCATTTGTAAGAAAAATGTATGGTATAATTTCAAAAGATCCAAAAGCATCTTACCATATGGACTAATTTGTTTACCTTTAATTAAAATATTGATTTTATTATATTTTTATTATACAAAATACTATATAATATACAGTAAATTGGGAGTGAGTATTAAAAAACTTTTATTTGATGTTACTATACTATAAGGTGGTAAATATTTCTTTTAAATTAATATAATTCTTAACACTTACTATATATATTAAAAATTTGTATCTCAACTTTAAACGTAAATATCTCCAGATCTAATGATCCAATCGGCAAGCTTTTTTTTCGCTCATATAGACCAGATCAAGGGCTTTCCGAAGAGCCTAAATTTATAAAAAACGGATTAGTGGATCCCAAGAATTTGCATTTAAGCATGTTAAAAAGTTCGTACCTCAACTTTAAACGTAAATATCTCTGGATCTAACAATTCAATCGGCAAGCTCTTTTTTCGCCTATAAAGTCCAGAACAAGGGCTTTCCAACGAGCCTAAAATTATAGAAAACGGATTAGTGAATCTTGATATATTTGCGTCTAAAGATGGTAATACAAATTATGATATAAAATAATTATTTTTATTGTTTGAAAATATCTATTATGATACCATCTTTTATATGATATTTTTATTATACTTTTATAAACATTTATAGCTAATAAGACTATATAAATTTTTATTTTACTTTATATTTTATTAAAATATACTTACTTTTTAATAATATATGTTAAAAATTCCATATATATCAGAAATGGATTTTTTATTAGTGAAATGGGTTTTTTCACACCTCTTTTACATTTAATAATTTAAGTTTCACAAATGTAAATTTTTGTTCAACTTATTATTTAGTCAAGTGATCATCAATCAGATGATTTTTTGGTATTACAAAACAATTTTGAGTAACGAAAATTGTGCAAATCAATTCAATAACTCTTTTTCAGAGTAGACAAATCAGTCCATATGCTATGAGAATATACAATTTAGCTATATATCACCAGTAAAAATCCCTAGTGTAAGAGTTTTTTCACCTGAACAAAGTACAGCAATTGTTTTTGAAGATTTATGTGTGGCTTTCACTTCCTGAGTCCATCCAAAATCGAATCATTTCATTTTTTACATATGGACGTCATAGAAACATTTCAAGCATATATGTAACATAACGTTACTATCATTAAGGTTACTTGTCTAAACCTCTTCAAAATCCTACGATTAGTTTCATCAAAATTTTACTATAGATTTATTATAGTTTTGGCAGAGTTTTAGTAGTTTTGGCATTTATAATAAGTTTTGGCAGTTTCGCCTTTCTTCAAAGTTTTGCCAGTTTTTTAATATAACTTTAATATAGTTTCAGCAGAATTTCGCTTTTTGGCAAAACGCCATCTTGCCTAAACCCCTAGGTTTTGGCAAGCAACCTTAACCATCATATACTAATAATTATTCAGAAAAATATTTCACATCTAGTAGTCTTTAATGGTGGCAGTTCTTAGAGCTCTGAATGGGTCAGATCAGGTTAGATAATTAATTGACTTGATCTGATCCAAAGCAAGTCATGAATTTGGTGACCTGACCTGAATATTACAGGTCAGTTTAGGTACCTGATCTGACTCATTGACCTAGTATATTTTGGGTCAAAAAAACATTTCTGCATTTTTAATATATCAAATTATATTACAATTATTTTATGGAAAAGTACGTTTCAGCACTTTTTAGCTATCAGTGCCTATTTTTTTGATTACCATATAATAATCCTATAATGTATATTTTGTAATAATTGACAATATAATTGCTATTATAATTTAATATATATTAAAATACCATATTACAATAAAATGTAAAAAAATAATAATAGACTTATTAATATATATGTTATTAAATATGATATTTACATGATATGTCAAAAATTTTTATTAATATTATTTAAAAAGCATTATAAAATACTACCAAAAAAATCACTACTGATAGTAAAGTTTTTATTACGCCAAAATGTATTTTTTTTGTTTTTCTAATGAAAAACGTCAGACCTGACATTTTTAAATTAAAGAAACTTTTTTTTTATTTCTTTTAATGAAAAAACGTCAAACCCGACATTTTTAAATTAAAGAAACAATTTTTTTTTGTTTCTTTTAATAAAAAACGTCAGGTTCAACATTTTTTAATTAAAAATACATTTTCTTTTGTTTCTTTTAATAAAAAATGTCAGGTTCGATGTTTTTTAATAAAAAAAACATTTTTTTTGTTTTTTTTAATAAAAAAATGTCAAACCTGTCGTTTTTTAATTAAAGAAACAATTTTTTTTATTTCTTTTAATAAAAAATGTCAGGTTCGACATTTTTTAATTAAAGAAACTTTTTTTTGTTTCTTTTAATAAAAAAATGTCAGGTTCGACATTTTTTAATTAAAGAAACATTTTTTTTGTTTCTTTTAATGAAAAAATGTCAAACCCGACGTTTTTTAATTAAAGAAACATTTTTTTTTGTTTCTTTTAATAAAAAACGTCAGGTTCAATGTTTTTTAATAAAAAAAACATTTTTTTTTGTTTTTTAATCGAACCTGACATTTTTAATAAAAAAAGACGTTTTTGTAATTATTTTTAATGAAAAAACATCAGATTCAGGTCAGGTTGGCATTTTTTATATATATAAAATCTTATTTATGACCAAAATATGTCAAGTCAATGGGTCGGGTTGGATATCTGACTGTAATTGACCCGACTTGAGGTCAGGTCATTAAATCTGCTACCTGACCTGGTTAACCCGTCAGGTCATCCAATCCATCAAGTCAAATTCAGAGCTCTAGCAGTTCCTATCAAGATATTTTCAAGATCATTGGACGATATACTGAAGATGTGAAAAATACCTCTATGGTTGTTAATAGTTATCTTCGAAAAGGTGAATTTATTGTCTTTGATCTAAATAAATCAGATGATAATCCACTGGCAATTCAGTTGAGATTTGATACTCCATTAGACCTTCAAAAAGAGGTAGAGTTACGAGAGAAGTGAAAAAAAGGATCATAAGGATTCATTACTCCTGAAATTAAAGTTTTGATCTTTTTGATGAAGAATCACCTATTTGCAATGAGAAAGTTGACAATAAATGATGCTTGTGCAATTGCTGGAAAACGTGGTGGGCTTTGTCTTTCTACTGAATATGTTAATGCTAACATGCAATGTGCAAATAGTTATGAGTGGACTACATCTCTTAATAATATAAATAACAGTAAGACATGGTGTTCGTATTGTGCAAATAAGGCCAGTCATACAATTGAAGATGCTAAGCAAGTTGCTTTTAGTAAGAATGGAGAATGCCTTTCCAAAATGTATGATAATAGTTTTTCACCTTTATCATGGCGTTGTTCTGAAAGGCATGAGTGGAATGCATCTTTTAACACTGTAAAAAATAATAAGAAGTGGTGTCCATATTGTGCAAATAATAGGCCTTGTACACTTGAAGATGTCAAACAATTGGCTTATAATAGAAAAGGAGCTTGTCTTTCTGAATATTATATTAATAATTGTTCAGCTTTATTATGGATGTGTGATAAAAAGTATAGATGGTTTGCTACTTTTGATAATGTTAAACATTTAAACTCGTGGTGCCCATTCTGCCCGAAATATAAAAGAGAAAAGCTATGTCACAAGATTTTAACAATATCTTGGCCCTCCTTCACTAATCCACAAACCTAATTTTCTCAAAACACCAGAATGTCCCACAGGATTAGAACTTGATATTTATTACCCAGAATATGGCTTTGCAATCGAAGTACAAGGCATACAACACGAAAAATATATCAAATTCTTCCATAATGGCAATTCCAATAATTTTATCAAACAGCAAGCGCGGAACCAACTCAAGAAAGAATTATGCGAAGAGAATCGGATTGCACTAAGATATGTTTGGTATTACGAAGACCCATATATAATTATTCCTGGGTCTCATAGAATAAACTTGAAACTTCAAAATGCTTTATCGGTTATCTAATTCCACTTATATTATTTAGTATACTGCATTGGACAAAGTTGGAAAATACGTTTTTACAATGGCATATAAAAAAATTTTTTGATATACTAATATTCTACATGTATTACAGTATTAAATCATAAAAGTGATAATAATAGGATTGAAGTTGCATTACGATTTTTCATTACTCAGCATTTCTTTGCCCTATATAATTTTTTTTTCTTTAATGATTTTTGTATTGCCCATACGAGGCTTATTATGATTTATCTTTGAAAGAACTCGTAAATTGTGGGCGTTACTGTAGCGCGCACTTCTTTTGTTTCTCATTGATCAGAATTCTTGATCAGTGCCCCTGACCATCAACTACACATATATATAATAGATGAAATCAGTAAAAGCCAAACCCAAAGTATCAATAGTTATTACTTACCGCCCAAGTCACAACTGTCCTAAAAAAAGATGGGAATAAATCGACACTTTCTAGATCCGTTGGAATTTCGCATGTTTCGATTTCAAAAAGTCGATATATTCCTTAAAAAATTCGTCAGCAAAGTGATTTATTCTTCTTATAATAATGTTCGTATATACTGTATACATACCCAAATAGTCCATAAGGTAAAATCGAAGACTTAGTCCGATGCTCTGTACCATATAGGACTTGAATTGCAGTGGCGGTGCTCGTTTCAATTTAACTTCGGATACAACTGTATAGTTTATTATATCTTTTCCTGCTCTCGCATTTTGGACATAATCGGACATTTCTTTCGTGTCATCAACAACATATGGTCTGGAACCTTCTACTATACAAATTTCATACGGTTTTTCGGTGGTGGTGTACGCAATCCCATCTGAGCGGTCTGCATTCCCCTCTTGTTTCATGATCGACTTTCTATATGCAGATGCTTGAATAGCTTGGTTTCCCCTAAAAGAATCATAACAAATAAATTTAACACGACAATAAAAAGATGTTAGAAATGCTTACATAATACTTACGGTATATAACGAATACCCGAAAACCTCCACAGTGCCCTCTTTAGAACGGGATGGATGTACGTATTCATAAATTCATCTTCCAGCATATCATGGTTCTTGAGAGGATTGTTATGTAGCAAAGAATACGCATCAAAGCTAAAAGATAAATAAGAACGTTAATAAATTCTGGTAAAAATAGTAGGTATTAATTTTGTAGTTTTCCTGTCAGGGCAGAACAATAATATATTTATCAAATGAACGTAAAACTGAGAATAAAAAAATTATACTTGCAAGGCCGGCAATGTCTCAAATAAAAATCTCTTCAACTTTATAAAAAATGGATCCTCTTCCGGTTCCAATAAACTTTCCAGCCTGTTATCCCATTGTTGATGGGTACAATTCTGTTAAAATAAAACAGCGATGATGTGATTGGCAAGCAAAAAGACAAATTAGTACAGGATAGTACAAAATAATATTGATACCTCTGAAAAAAACTCTTCAAGAAATTCAATCGCACTTTCCGGAAACAACTTATCGACAGGCTCAAAGATCTCTTTTAGAACTTGCATGTAGTCATCCTCATTTGTATATCTTAGAACGAACTCCGAAGACGGGGTTAGGTCCATAATTTCATTCCGAATTAATTCATTAACGGAATCATCACAGTATACTTGAAAACTGCACACCAAACTAGCCATTTTCTCAGAGCATTGTTGCAGTTCGTTGAGAAGATTTTTAACCAGATTATGATCATGATCGCTCTGTGAAATTTATTTGAATCATTAAAAATTCTTGACTACGCAGTTAAAGTGACTAAAAATTGCACAATCAGCTATATATCTACCAAACTAACCCCATTTTCACGTCTTTCCTGTTCCTCCACAGTTATATCTTCGCCTGTTTTTCCTCGCTCAGATGTTTTTTGTTGTGAACAAGACTTATTCGTAAGGGAAGATGACGCATAATTAGATGAATATACATCTTCATCGTCATCCTCTTGTTCTTTGATTGATAAATGTTTATAAGGATCTACATAAATGTTTCGTGGAAAATCGCAAATTTAACTCACCATCCAATTGTGGCTTGTTCGTAAGGGAAGATGATGCATAGTTAGATGAATATACATCTTCATCGGCATCCTCTTGTTCTTTGATTGATAAATGTTTATAAGGATCTACATAAATGTTTCGTGAACAATCGTAAATTTAACTTACCATCCAATCGTTTTTGTTTTTTTCGCAAGCTTTCTTCATTCGGTTCTATTGCCCTATTACTGACGACCTTCTCATGGACCTCGTTACGAATCTTCATCTGAAGATATCATGGTTAGCCAAGAACCTTGTCGAAATTTTATGTTTGAACAATACCGCTCTTTTCTCTAATAGCCACACATCCCAATCTGAATTGCACTATTTTGTGAAAAAAAACAGAAGTTAAAAGTATTGCTTTCCAAATATGCTTTAAGCAGAACATTTGATCACGTACATTAACGGTTTCTTTGATGTTTTTTAGTTTCGACTGTTCGTCCGGAACTTTACACAACCTCATAGCTTCATTGAGAATTTTTCCATACTTTTCGATCGCACGAGCTTTATGTGTCGGTTGAATAAAACGAAAGAATTCTATCGGCGTGGGGTTTTTACACGTAATCATCCAATCGAGGTTTCGTTTTTTCACTTGTTCACGTACAGGTTTCATATTTGATATCTCATAAACGGAAATTTTAACAAAAAAAGTGTTGAGTATATTGTTTGATTAAAGTCAATAAATAACCATTAAAGTGTGCTGTTGTTTACTCAAGGCCGGCCACCCACTGGACGATGTGACTTGCCAAATTATTGGCTTCCGATAGAACATGACAGTCTACCGCAGACGCGTCTTTCTTTCTTACAAAACCATCGATAAACTTTAAGAAAGAAAAGATTTATAAAAACCTACCGCACGTAAAGAAGCTTAGGGTAATATAAACGGTTAGCGGGCTTACAGGAAGTATAGAAAAAAAAAAAAAATATTTACCGGCACGAGTTTTTCCTTTAGCCATTATTAGATTTTTATTCGTTAGGTTAAAGTGTGACGATTTTATTCGCTAGGTTACGTTTGCTAGAAGGGTGATGATTTTGTCACATGGCCACGTGATAGCAGCGGCAGCATAGATAAACAGGGCGGACATCAACAGGGCGGACATGCATTATATCACAATGTCGATCACTTGCCGATCATGATATAAGTGATATCACGTTAAATTTGAAGCTTTATTCCAAGCAATAAATGTTCTGACAATTTATGTTAAATTATTTTATTTAATAGCTGTCTCTTATACACATCTAGATGTGTATAAGAGACAGACTTTGAAGCTTTGGGCGAAGCCACAGATCTTCGGGCGAAACTTGAAACTTTTACAGTATATTATTTAGGTATTCAAGAATCAATGGCTAAAATAAACCTGGATAATTTTTGATAACCCAAAAGTTATCATTAAATAAATGTTTACAATTATTGTAAAATTAATATATGTCTGATATTTGACAAAATCTTTATGAATTATTTTAAGAACTAATTTATTAACAATAAATAAAATAAAGTAAATAAAATCGAAATTTTATACATTATTATGTAGAATTTGTGAAAAAACTAATTCAGCGGTATTTTTTTATGTGATAATATTGGACAAGTGATCGGCAAAATGATCGGCAATATCGTGATAATATGGGGATGTCCGCCCTGTAATTCATAAAGATTTTGTCAAATATCAGACATATATTAATTTTACAATAATTGTAAACATTTATTTAATGATAACTTTTGGGTTATCAAAAATTATCCAGGTTTATTTTAGCCATTGATTCTTGAATACCTAAATAATATACTGTAAAAGTTTCAAGTTTCGCCCGAAGATCTGTGGCTTCGCCCGAAGCTTNAAGTCACGTTAGCAGATGATCGGCATATATATAGCATATATATTAATTATTGAAAATTTGATGTAAAATCTAACTTTGGAAACACACCTTATTTTGCCACAATACTTTTATATTAATTTATTGATAAATGAAACTATTAAATAAAATAATTTAACAGAACATTTATTGCTTAGAATAAAGCTTCAAATTTAACGTGATATCACTTATATCATGATCGGCAAGTGATCGACATTGTGATATAATGCATGTCCGCCCTGTTGCATAGATAAAAGTCCTAATGATTTGTTTATTAACACGTGGTTGGAAATTTAGCAATATTATTGGATAGTTAATTTTATTGGTTAAAATTTTATCACGTGATTGCAGGCTTAGCGACAGTTTTTTTTATTTTATTTTCTAAGATTAATAAAAAAATTTTCCAAAATACATTCTAAATAGAACCTCAAAAATTACTTGGTTCTTGTTCTATTCAACAATGTTCAAAAAATTCTTCAAATTTTTGAAGATTAACAAAATTAGCTTATAATAAAGCTAAAGATCATGGAACATTAATCATATATCCATATTTAAAATTATATGATACAATTTGTTTTCCTCATTATATGTCTATTGTAGAAGGTAATAAAATAAACCATCAGAACAATGAAAATGAATCAGAACCTGAATTATCTTCTGAAGGAATATCTTTAGCTTCTAAATTTTAAAAAATAACTACAGTTTTTTATCAAATGCAGCATAAAGAATCTATGGATCTTATTCTTGATCCTGAAGAATTCGATCATTGTCTTACTGAAAGAAATGAAGATCTTAATAATTTTTTAAACAAAATTTGTAATATATTTTTGCCTAAAGGTTGAAAAAAAGTCAAAAAGTGGAAAAACAAAAAAAAATTATTACAATATTATATCTTATAGCTAGCATTCGAAATATGTAAGTAAACACTTTTAAAATTGAATTTGGAATATATTTAAATACCTGTGAATCATCTTCAGAAGCATTAAATACTTTAAATAATGCTGGAATTACAATAACCTACATGACCTTATATAATCAAAAAAAAATGAATATCAACACAACATTCTAGTAGAATTAAAAATTTTTTTAATAATAATGTAAGTAATTTGTTATATATAAACCTATAAATATTAATTAAAATAATTTAATAAAATATCATAAAAAGATAACTTACTTGTATATAATCTGAATGATTATCATAATATCCATGAAAAAAGATGTCCAGATAATACAATATTGAGTAAAGCTATTCATATGGCTACCTGCTTAAGTAAGAAAATTGAAAATTGTAATCAAATACCAATAATATATAATGAAATATCAGTCCACAATCCAATTAATATAGATTGGATCTTAATTTGTAAAAACCTAATAAATATTTATCAAAAATGGTTAGATAAGTCTTATACAACAAAAAAAAAATGAATGGATAAAAGCAAAAAATAATGTTTTACTTACTTTTAATCCAATTGAACAACTTACTATTTATATGTATAAAAATGCTACTAAAGAACGAAAAGAAGAACGCAAAATGAAAAAAACTATATTGGTAAAAATTCAAAAACAGCAATTACATTCCTTAGAAGATTATCTAAAAGGATTAGATATAATTCTTCAGTATAATGAACATCTAAATGGTTATATTGCGCCAATTATTGCAGATTGGCCAGGACAACTTTTTATCTGTAAAGCTATAACACAACTACAAAATGGAAGAAATATTAAACCAGAAATCAAATCATTTTTACCTATATTTGGCCTATTACATGTTGGTCTCTTTAAATACTCGTGAACAAATTGTAAAAGTTTATTATTCATTTATTGAAAAAATGTTTCATAGTGTCTTTGGAACTCGAAAAGTTTTGGCAAAGAAGCCTAAGTCTTGGAGAATTAATCTACTATTAGAACTTTTACATAAAGGATGGCAAATTATTAGAATTCAGATTATTGATAAGTTTGGAAATACAAAAGATCCTGAATTTCGAATATTAATAGATCTATTAGACAATACTACACCTGCTGCTCTAGATATTTACGCTATATTATTTCATTCTGGTACTTTTAATGAATACGTTGAAACAATCTTTAGAATCTGGACATTTGCATTAAGATGGAATAGAAAAAACTATAATAAAACACCATTGGCTTTTTTATTTGACACATGTCAAATGACCAAAAACAGGCAAAAAAAAATGGCTAGAATTGCATAAACTATTCGCAAATTTATATAAACTATTTACAAATAATATAGGTTAATTCACAAATTGCCAAAAACAGCCAAGAATAGCCAAGAATAGCCAAGAATAACTACTGCTTTTCACACCATTTTTTTTGCTGATTTTTAGCATTTTGACCTGTGTGATATATTCTATTGGGAAGAAAATAGACATCCTATGAAAGAAGCAATAGCAAAATATTTAGTTAATTTTAATGATTATTGGGTGGAAAATATGCATTCTCAAATTTGAACTACTACTTCCTTAAAAGACAATAGTATAACTATATAACAGTAAGCTTACCTATTAGATAATCTATTGATTTGACTTTTAATATTTGTTTTTATTAAAATTTAATTCATTTTCTTTTTAAGATTCCCACAAGTATTCTACTTTTAAACAAGTATACTGCAATTTTAAGAATTACCCTTACTCAGTAACTGAATTAGATTTCTTTACACACAAAACCAGTATTTTTCTGCTAAATCAATTCCAAATTATTTTTCAATCAATTAAACAGAAAGAATCTGAGCTGAGTTCTTCTGTTCCTCCTAAAAGAAAAAAAAGAAAAAGATCTAAATTACAATATGAATCTATTACTATGGGAACTTTAGATGTAATTAAATTACCTCTTGGATATAGTACTGGATACCCTCCTGCTTTAGGAAAATGTAATCATTATCATGAAGTATTAAATGAACAAGAACAATGCCAGATTCTTATTTGCAGCCATGGTTATCATACTAATTGATATGCATCATTAGATTTTTGATGCCGCTATTGTCTTGAGTATTTTAAAAAAGGAATACAAAAAAATGTTGATTCCTTTTTAAACCGTTTGAATAGTTCCATGAATGAGCTAATAGATAAAGATATTGAAAATATAGAAGGTAGTCAAGATAGAGAAAACAATGAAGATGAACCATTAAATAATAATGAAGTTGAAAATATACATATTAATTTAAACGAACGACTTCAAAAGATGGATAGTTAGTAAAGTAGTTTTCTTTAATTTCCAATATTTGAAACTATTAAAATAATAAATAATTATTGGTTATATATTAGCGAATAACTTCCAAAAAAACCTGGTTTAACTTTCTTTTGCTACCTTACAAAACTGTAATTTACGCATCAAAGTAAAGTTTTAAGTGTTTGCGATGTATTGCGATGTAATAACATAGTACATTAAAGAAAGTTGAAAAGAATAATTGCGTAAAATTTGAATAGGGTTATTATAACAAATCGGAATTTTATCATGAACAAAGTTACTAATCGGCATATGAAATTTCTATATGAAATTTTGTGTAATCTGCTGATCATCAGGACTTTTATCTATGCTGGCAGCGACCGTGTTATTTATATTTATCTCAGCGACTTAGAAAATTTTTTGTGGTCTGATTTCTATTTGTCACCTACATAAAACGTCACACCCTTTATGCAGTGTAACCAATACTATTAATATTCGTAACATGTGAGGTGGTGTGTAAGATTATCCTGCTAGAAGTAGTACTTAAATTATCACAAGTACAAGATGTAGGATTACATCATTGTGTGATTTCTAAAATCAATATGTTGATTAGCGAATTTTAAAGCAGAAAAAAAGCAAATCCAATTATCAGGTATTACTATACTAAAAAAATCAGAATATGTGTTAAGGGTGTTCTGGCACCAGAACAGTATCACGTGACTATGGCGCAATAACATTTCTGGACGTTATAATAATGTAAAAAATACATTGCTGGTTATTAATAGTTACCTTCAAAAAGGTGAGTTTGTTGTATTTAATCTCACTAAGCCAGAAGATAATCCCCTTGCAATTCGCCTAAGGTTTGATACATCAGGAAATTTTTTAAGATGCAGAACTGCGGAGATCTGTAAAATTAGCAGATCTCCACATTTTTTTTGTGAATTTATGCAGAAATTTGCGATTTTGCAGATTTCTGCTTTTTATTTTTTACAAAATTATGCAACAATTTGCAATTTTGCAAGTTTCCAATTTTTTATGTATGAATTTCTGCGGTAATCTGCAATTTTGCAGGTTTCTGCAGATTTATTAGAAAAATTCTGCGGTAATCTGCGATTTTGCAGATTTCCGCTTTTATAATACTAAAACTTTTTTATGTCGCAAATTGAAAAGAGCTGCTGATTAGTCATGTGAGTTGATCAGCTAAATTTAGACATTTATTTAAACTATTTCAAAACTTAATCTTTTTAAAAAGTTTCTTTTTTTATTTTTATTGAAACATTTGCTAACGTTCTGATTTCTTAATTTTTTTATTGAAACGTTTTTACATTTCAAATTTTTAGTTCTTTTATTATCGGAACATTTGTTAATGTTCCGATATATTAATTTCTTTATCGAAATATTTTTAACGTTTCGATATATTAATTTTTTATTGAAATGTTAAAAAATGTTTTGAAATTTTCTATTTTTTTTATCAGAACGTTAGCAAACATTCCGATTTCTTAATTTCTTTATCGAAATGTTAAAAACGTTTCAAACTTTTAGTCCTTTTTTATTGGAACATTTGTTAACGTTCTGATATATTAATTTCTTTATCGAAATGTTAAAAATATTTCGAAATTTTTTATTTTTTTATCAAAACGTTTTCTAACGTTCTGATTTCTTAATTTCTTTATCGAAACGTTAAAAACGTTTCAAATTTTTAGTCTTTTTTTTATCAGAACGTTTGTTAACATTCTGATATATTAATTTTTTATCGAAACGTTAAAAAACATTTCAAAATTTTTTATTTTTTTATCGGAACGTTTGCTAACATTCCAATTTCTTAATTTCGTTATTAGAACGTTTGCTAACATTCCGATTTCTTAATTTTTTTATTGAAACGTTAAAAAATGTTTTGAAATTTATTTTTTTTAAAAAATTTTTTTATCAAAATGTTATTTTACGTTTTAAAATATATTTTTTTTAAAATTTTTATCGAAACGTTATTTAACGTTTTGATTTATTTTTTTATAAATATTATATCGAAACGTTTAGTAACGTTTTGAAATTTATTTTTTTATCGAAATATTAATAAACGATTTGAATTTTATTTTTATTATTATTTTTAATTTTTATTATTGGAACGTTTGTAAACGTTCTGATTTCTTAATTTTTTTATCGAAACATTAAAAATGTTTTGAAATAACTTTTTTTTATCAAAATTATTTAACGTTTCAAAATTTTTTTTAATTCTTTTTTTTATCAGAACGTTAATGTTCCGTTTTAATTTTTTTCTTTCGAATTTTTTTGTAGGTTTCAGAGATTTTTAGAAGAATTTTGAAGGTAACTGAAACTTTCGAAATTCAATTTTTTTTATTGTTTTTTACTTAACAAAACGTTAACTAACGTTTTATTTATCTTTTTTGTAGGGTTGCAGGCACTTCCAGCTTTTAGGAATAGAATTTCAAAGGTATTTACCTTCAAAATATTTATTTTTTTATTTTAAAAATTAATCAAAACGTCTAATGTTTCAATTTTTTTATTTTGCAGGTTTTCAACCTTCTTGATGGAATTTTGAAGGTAAAACCTCTAAATTCTTTATATTTTTTTTCTGTTGCTTTTAATTTACGAAACGTTTACTAACGTTTTGGTTATTTTTTGTAGGGCTTTGGTTTTCTGGCTCCTGAACGAAAGAATTTTGAAGGTATACTTCAAAAAAAAGTGGATTTTTATTTTATTAATATTATTTAGTGAACGTTAACTAATGTTCATATTACTTTTTTTTTAGGTAAAGGAAGCTGACAGACTCTCATATCGAAGGTAAAACCCTTCAAAAAATTTATTTTTTTTCATATTTTTATTGACGAACGTTAACTAACGTTCGTGTTTCTTTTTTTTTTAGGCAAAAGAATCTGAAACTGAGTTCTGAATTCCCAAATCGAAGGTAAATTTAACCTTTGAATTTTTTTATTTAAATGAATGTTCATTAACATTTATATTTCTTTTTTTTTAGGTTTGCAGCTTTCCAACGGAATTTCGAAGGTATTTACCTTTGACTCATGTTGATTTCTGTGCATTATTTCGAAAGTAAACTTCGAAATTACAGTTTTTGTTTTTTAAACGAAACGTTGGCTAACATTTTGGTTTTTTCATTTATAGGTTTCCACGACTTTCCAATCGCCTATTTGGACAGAATTTCAAAGGTAAAAAACTTTGAAATTCTTTTCTTTATTGCTTTTTACTTAATAAAACGTTAACTAACGTTTCATTCTATTTTATAAATCCACGGCTTTTCAGCCGTTTTAAGATAGAATTTTGAAGGTATTTATCATCGAAATACTAATTTTTTTCATTTTTTTTTGATTTTATTTAATGAAACGTTTACTAATGCTTCATTTTATTTTTTGTAGGTTTTGACTTTACAGCTCCTGGACAGAATTTCGAAGGTAAAATTCCTTCAAAATTCTTTCTTTTATGTTTTTTATTTAGTGAAATGTTTACTAACGTTTCTATTTTTTGTAGGTCTTCATCATTTCGGATACCTTCTAAAAAGAATTTCAAAGGTATACTTTTATTTTTTTTTATTTTATTTTAGCGAAACATTACTAACGTTTCAGCTTTCTCTTTTTCTTTAGGGGTTTGACTCTCCAGACAGAATTTCGAAGGTAAAACTTCAAAATTTAAAATTTTTTTATTTTTTTTAATTTTATTTAACGAACATTTACTGATATTCATTTTTATTTTTTGTAGGTCCAGAACACCGAAAGTACTCTGGACATCATTTTGAAAATATAATCTTTGAAAGTTTTTAATTTTATTTGGTGAAATGTTGACTAACGTTTCATTTGTATTTTTTTTATAGGTTTTGTAGGCCCATGGCTTTTTGGACGCGAATTTCAAAGGTAAACTTTAAAATTCTTTAATTTTTATATATATTTTTTAATTTAACAAATGTTATCTAACGTTCGTTTTTATATTTTGTAGGTCCAGAATACTGAGGTATAGTTCTGGACTCATTTTTGAAGGTAAAACCTTTAAAAGTTTATTTTTTAATAAATTATTTGATGAATGTTAACTAACGTTCAATTTTTTTAGGTTCTACGACTTTAGACGGGTTTCTGAACAAAATTTCAAAGTAATATTCAAGGTAATTACTTTGAAATTCTTCTTTTACTTTTTTTTCAATGAACTTTACGAACTTTATACTAATGTTCATTTTTTCTTTATTTTTGTATAGATTTTTTTTCCATTTTGCTAATTGTTTGTTGGAATCAAACCAACTGGAACAATGTTCCAAACCATTAACAATATGTAAATGTGCAGTAAAGAGATGATGAATAGCAATGACTAATAATAGATTTCAATTGTATTTGTAAACTTATTAATATATAATAAAAAAGTAATTTTGATTATATAAATAAGTTAGTAATTAATGCAATAAATTAATTTGTATTATTGTGACGCAGATTTTTACTGAAAAAAATTGCTGAGGTATTTCGAAGGTTTTTTATTTAAAAATCTGTGCAGAACTTTGTTATTTATAAAATCTGCGCAGTTTTTTATTGGATTTTTTCTCTAATGTTTTGCGCCAGGGTATAAGATCTGTGCAGATCTGCTCCCCAAAAAATTTCCTGATGTACTCTATTAAACCTGCAGAAGGAGATAGAAGTTAAACAAAAGCGTAAGGAAAAAAGTGCCTCAGCTAATGAGTAGAATTTGACTTCATAGATACTAATTTTTTTTCGTAATTATAAAAATTGGAATAAAAAAGCACCAAGCCAAAAGATTGGTTATTTATATCGATCTTTAGAAAACTTGAAACTTAGATCAGAATTTTACTTTACAGAAATTTTATTACAGACCTGAGGAATATTATCGGACTGCTGAAAAAATGCAAACCGCTTGTAAGAAAGCCAGATATGAGTTTACTTTGGCTGTTATAAAGAATTGGCTAAACAAGCAGGCTTTGCATCAGATTCACAAGACTTGACCAAAATTTATTCAGTATGCCTCCTTTAATAATATACAATTTTTAAATAAAGTGCACCAATCTGATACTACCTCCATGCCTCATGATAAAGTAGGTAATCATATTTACAAGTATAGGGTTATTATCAAAGATGTTGCAACTAGGTACTGACGTAGTTTTGCATTAACTGATAAATCTTCTGCATAAATGGCTAAAGAAATTCAGAAAATTTACAATGATCCTAATGATTTTTTTAACTCGCCTGAAGATTTTATTGTAGATAGAGGTACTGAATATATGAGCGAATGTAAAGATTTATTACTCAATTATAATGTTGGAATTCAGTATGTTAACTCTAAATGTAATGTAGCTATTGCTAAACGTGACCATCAAGAATTTGAAAAATATGCTTCCTTTTGGCAAGATGCTGAAGATTTTCATTTGCCTTTAATTAATAGATCCAGAGCATGGTTTAAGAGACTTTGTATAAATGATGATATTTACAATAATACTCCTACTCAGTTAATATGTATGTTTCCTAATCCCTATAAAAAGTATTTATATTTAAAATATAATTAAAAACTTTTTAAAATATATTTAAAATATACTTAAAATATATTTAATTTAAAAATTGCGAAATACTTATAATATACTTAAAATGTATTTAAAATTATCTTAAAATATATTTCTAATATATTTAATTTTTGCTCAAATACTCAAATACTTAAAATATACTTAAATTATATTTAAATTAAAATTTAAGTATATTATAGATATATTTTTTACATACTTAAAATATTCTTATAATATATTTCATAATATATTTTAAGTATATTTTAAGTATAATACTTTTTATAGGGAATGAGGCTGTAAAAAAGGCATTAAATAATAAAACAATAATAGTTAGACTTTCTGTCAAACATAGGAGACCAGTTGATTATAATGAACCACTTTTACCTAGCTATACTGAAGTTCGTTACCTTTTAAAACCTGGTGAATTAGAAGGTAGGAGAAAAAGGGCAACTGATTGCAATTGGTCTCCTGAAGTCTTTACAATTGGTTCTTATTTGATAAAAGAAAATCAGCCTATTCTCTACAAGTTTTACAAGGGTCCTAAATATTTATTTGTAAAAGAAGAACTACAAATCATCCCGCTAGACACAGTATTACCTTCCAAATATATTTTCAAGCATTAAATTTACCTTCTCTTTCCTTTACTTGGTATAGGATTTGTTCAAAAGTATTGCTTAAGTAATCATCTATTTCATCTCTATTATAAACTATAATTTGCTTATTTCTAAGCCAGTCAATTCGTAAATTCTTTTATTCCTGTTTTTCATTCCCAGGTTTATCATTTATAAGAAATTTAGTAAAAGAACATAGGGCGAACTTAAATTGTTTACGCTTATTGAATTCCTTTTCAAGTATTTCTCTAAACTGTTTTCTTTAGCTTTCTAACATTTTTCGTATATCGTTTCTATTATCTGGATGGGATTTGAAAACTTTTGCACAATGTACATACGGCTATAGCTCTTCTTTTAATCGCAATTCCCAATTCTTCTTGTTCCCTAAATTCTAAATCCTTCTCAAACCTTTTGTGCTCCTTAATTTCTCCTAAGCGTTCAAATTCTTTATTGATCAAATTCTTAAATTTATTACCTTTCCTAAATGATTGTGTTTCAAGTTCAAAACTGCTTTCAGACTCTAACTCTTTTAATATTGATAGGTAAACTGCGAGTATACATATAAACTGTACTGTACAGTTAGCTAAACTGTACTGTACGAAGTGAGAACTCACCAATCAAATTTTACTGTACGATAAATAAAAAAAATTTAAAAAATTTGAAAAGTATACAATGAGTTATGATTGGCTAAAATATTTTCGTACAGTACAGTTTAGCTGACCGTACAGTACAGTTTATCTATTTACCTGTAAACTGCCTCTGAATCATTTAGTTCAAGATCATGGAAAAGGGTTTTACAACCATCTAGATCATTTGCTTCATATAGCTCAACACTCAGATCTAATTCTTTTCAATGTTTTTGCAATTTTGCTCCTCATGACTTAATTCGCTCTCTGGGTTTATGAGTATTTGGACTGATTCAATTCTTTTCCTCCTCTTCTGTGATGTAGTCGACACCAAGTACTGGAACTTCCTTTTCAGGTTCTAGCTTAGGAACTAGAGTTGGGATTACCACACGTGGCTTCTTCTTGTTACTTATATTTATACTAGAGCTTTCTACCTGTGCTTTGATTTCAGAAGCTTGGATAGCCTGTTGATTAGCTTTTTGAATAAGCACCTGAATTGGCATTTGAATATAATAAGCTACTTCCTTTTGCTTTTGTAATAGTTTGCATAGATTTTTTTGCTTAAGACGCTCATGAAGTTTTTGGGATGTTGAGCATTTATGACTACAATGTTTACAGATTGTATCTTTTTTATTACTTCTTGTTTTTCTAACCATGGTGTTAGCTTTAACCGTCATGCTATTACTTGTATATAATTTTTTCTTTAATTATTTATTTTTTATGTACCTATCACTTTTTGATCATAGAAATTCTACCGAAGATAAGTATTTACAAGCTTTCTAAAGCATTTATAGCTATTGCAAAACTGAAGCATTAACTAATTATTAATTAATCTTTTTGAATTTAGTAATAAAAAAGTAGGATGATTAGTGGATATTCTTGCCCATTTTTCTGCAATATCAAAATGGTTTATGAGAATGCTAGTACTAGGCCTGAAGGATGTTGATTCCATTGGAAAGCTAAAAAATGTATACCTTGTTCTGATTGCGAAAAGCTTACAACCTCTACTTGTGGACGATTTTCACTACATGTTAGAGGTTATTATATTATTCAACTATGATAGACTTCAACAAGAAAGAACTTATGTTGGCCAATTCTTTGCTAGCCAATTCTATAATAGACTTCGATTAGAGATATGAGAAAGAAGTTATGAGAAAATAATGGTTACCTATGAAAATACGCTTACAAATCTTAATATTTCTCTTTGCAGAAAATGCCTCATTCTAATAAAAATGGAAGAAGAAGATTATTGTGTTAGTTATAATATCTAATGTTTGATCGGACTGCCCTGGAGCTGGAAGTATCATTCATAGAATATTTGTGATTATTATGTAGTCCAAATATATTCTAATAAAATAGTACATGATTCAACATTTAAAAAAAAAAAAAAAAAAAA